GTGATCTCTTCCGAGGACTATTCCTTCAAGACCTAACTACCTTCGTTAGGCCCCCATCTCTGAAAAGATTCCACCCTTCCTCATTCTGCCTCATTGGAATCCAGGTTGCTAGCACATGAATAAATGGAAAACATCCTAAGCCACATTCAAACCTTTAGAGCACCCTCATCATCATCCTCAGAGGCTCTTGGAAGGAGGGCAGACAGAGAACCTTTGAGTTATGTGTGTCTTTAATTAAAAGTATTCATACTGTCTCATAAAGATAGTTGTGCTTTCTGGGCTGAAATGTGATTTCATACTTTTATTCTCTCTTTGGAGGATGAAGGCCTAGAAAAATATAAAATAGTATCACCAGGTATTTTTCATGACACTGGATCATAGATGAACATCAGAAATATTATCCAATGTAGAAAGCATAGGATGTGAGATCAGAGGCCTTGTATTTGCCATAGCTTCCTTCCATCCAGCTAGGGGATTGTAGAGTCATGTTGCTACACTGTAATCAACTCAAAAATGAGGAAAATAACCTTATTCTTATGTAGCTGCCTCAGAGACTGGGTCATGATTTTCATCACCTACTGCCTGGCGGACTCCAAACCATTATTCATTAGAGAAATAGAGGGGTGAGTGGATTAGTGAATATCCCTCCATTTTCCCCCCACCTCTTCTTATTCCTGCCCTCTTTTCCATTTACTGTGCTGGTCTTGTTAATGTGCATCAAGCACCAGCTACTTCCTGCCTTTACATGTTATCCTGAGCTGCCTAAAACATACATTATAACTATATAACGTATTACCTGATTATAAACTGCTTTCTCCCCAAGATTACCTTGCAAGAAAGACTTGCTTTTGTTTACCTGGATGCAAATTAAAGCCTAGTGATTGTTCTTACTGCCCCTTTTCCTACTTTTTCTGATTCACACCTGTGAGATTGTTTAAGTTTGAATAGGATGCACACGCTGGATGGAGATCGTTTTCATTTATATCTCTGACGATATCTTTGAAGAAGCAGGGTGACCTAATTTTAAGGAGGGGAGTGATTTTTCTTTGCAAGTAAATGTATGTCTCAAGAAGAAATTTTCTCTGAACTCACTGGAACAGACAACTAAGAGGAGTTAAACTGTCATTCCCAATTCATGATAACTCTAAAAAAGTGAGTTTATAACATGTTGTTTTGATTACTAGTTTATGTAACAGTTTTATTAAGCTGATCCCAAGGCAATATGTTCCAACGTAGTTTACATGAGGACACTAATAAAGCAGCATACCAAGCAAACAGACCGACCAATATTTGGGCTGCTAACATAAACCATTTCCATTGTCATCTGGAAGACTTTTTGAATTCTTACATCTGATATGACTCAGGAACTCTGAAGAGTTCAAAATTCACAAGAAGAACCCAAGACAAGGTCATGCAATGCAAGGATTTCAACCTTTATCTCAAAAGTAATTTCAAGGACTGCACTGACGTGCATTTCATAATCAAAGAAGCAGACAGTTGCAAAAGCGCCATCGGCTTAATACTTCATACTCCACTTGTTTGAAAGCATCAGGCAAGCTCTGTTTCTGAGGAAAAAGGATTTCCAAAATCTCTTCATCCCCAGATAAAATGCTCCTAGGTTCTAAGAAGAACCTGACTGATGCTGACTTATAAATGAACAGACTGCCTTGAATGGCTTTTGGCACACATAAATTCCTTTGCTTTGCAACATAAACAGATTCCAACAGGATTCCTGAGCAGTCAAAAAAAAAAAAATCATAGTATTTAAACAAAGTTAGTTCTGTTCTAAACTTATTACTGATGTTTTTCTTTTCCTTTTTTTCACCATGCACAAATTATTTCTTACTTGTAAGAGAATAATTAGGAAACTCATTGAACACCAAAGAAAATATATGTAGATTTTAGGGACCAACAAGAAAATAATGATTAAATAACTAAGAAACTAAACTTACGTAGTACAGGTACTCCTAAAAAAAATTAAATAATTTCTTTGCCAGCTTCTTACTGAGGTTAAATTTAAATATTTTCTATTCAGGCCATAATATGAATTTTTAAAAAGCTTGAAAATGGGAATTAGAAATAAACTTATGATAATCTTTATTTATTTGCTGTGGTACTGAGGATTGAACTCAGAGCCTTTCTACTGAACTGTAGCTTCAGGTCTATATCCTCAGACCTTCTTGGTTTTTAATTTTTTAATGTATTTTAGTACAGGGTCCACAGGGTCTCACTACACAGATCAGACTCATAGGAATCCTCCTATTTTCGGCTTCCCAAGCACTTGGTTTTTAGTTTTGAGATAGGGTCTCAAGAAGTTATTAAATTTCCCAGCTAGGGCTCAAGCTTCTGGTCCTTCAGCCTCAATCTCCCAGGACATTGGGATTATAGGCCTAGGCCACAACAGCTGGCAGTAATAAGCTTGTATTGAGTAGCTATTGAGTATCCTGGGAGATATTTAGAATACGTTACATGTAAGGAGAAGCCTGGGCAGCAAACTCCATGCAAATGTAATTCTTGCTGATTTGGGACTGTGAGGGAAGTGGCTGACAAGGGGAAGAACCGGTCATTAAAACTGCGGAGAATGGTGAGAGATAGAAAAGCTGATGAGCCAGGAAGCCTAGCAGACAGGTGCAGCATGGAATCCCCTAAACTGCAAGCAGCCCATTTTCCATATGGATTACACAAATGATCCTGAAACCAAGGAGAAAGGAGGAATGAAAAGCTAAGGGGAAAAAAAAAATAAAAAAACGGCCGGGGAGATGGCTCAGTGGAATAAGCACTTCCCTGGCAAGCGTAAGGGCCTGAGTTCAATCCCTGGTTCCGCCAAAAAAAAAAAAAAAAAAAAGAAAGAAAAGAAAAACTAAGGGCAAGAAAGAGAGAAACAGCATGTCTCAAGCACAGTTCCTTCTTTTCATCATTCAGTAAGCGCCACTCAATCCCACCATCAGGAGCTAGGAATAATTTAAGATCTTGATGATGTGATGATAAGCTGTCCTCATGTAGTTACTGCTGAATGCAGAAAATCTAATTTAAGGAAAAAGACACATACTGCTTAAGGAAACAACATCAATGGAGAATGGGAAAAGGAAGTTTATAACATATATATTTCGTAGTATATATTTTTCACTTTTGTTTCCTTAGTTGGTCTCTTTTCTCTAGGGACACTATTGTCCAAAATTTACCCACAAAAATTTGACCTTTTTTTTTTTTTTTGCCCTTATTGAATTAAATAATCTAAATTACTGGCTCAAAGAGTCTGACATAGCTTATCATTTAGAACATGTTGGAACTTGACTTAAAATTGAGGATTTGGAAGCATACACCTCATTGGAAAAATATTGAGATGGAAATACATGTAGCAAAAGAACAGAATTTTCATAGGATTCAGGTGCAGATTTACTTATAGTGAATTACATAAATTCTCCTAAACACTTCACTTCGTCCTCATTTTTTAAAACTACTTCTTTGTCACCAGCATAAATACCACACAATTGCCTCTGACTCTTCTGCTACCATCATGATCCGTATAACAGCCCTTCCCAAGATGTCTGTGTATTGCCTATTGACTTTGTATCAGCCCTGGGCTTCATTCCTTTTCTAATTAATGTAATAAAATCTAGCTTCCTCTTTTATCAATCGTACAACTTTATAGCTCCAAGGAGCTCTCCATAGAAATACAACCCTTAGCACAATCAAAGCCTACCTTCCTGACCTGTCCTCCTAAAACATGCTCTTACTGTAATCAAAATCTTCCCCAGATTACTGAATTACCACTCCCCACTGAGGACTGTTTGGCCTCCTTTGTGGAGTGTTTGAGGCTGTCTGTGTAAGCTTTCACTCAAGGCCCCAATAGGCTTCACTTTTGTTTCATTAATACAAAAAGTATGTTTTGAGCATCACTGTTCTTTGAAGGGTATTAGAGGTTGCAGGGTAAAATTAACGTATCACAACCTCCTCCTCTGGCGGCCCTGGGGGTGGAAGGAGCAAGAATGTGAATGGCTGATCTGTGGTTGAGATTCCTGGCGACAGAGGCATCCAGCATCAAGTGCCCCAGTGTGCTGTGCTGCCCACTGCTTCCTAGAGGCTGACGAAGTTAGCTTCCGCTACTACTCTTGCCGGCGCTCCGTGGCTCTGTGCTTGCGGTCCTTCAGGGAGTCTTCTATCTACTTTCAATAAACATAGTCTTTCAAAGACTAGATGAGATGCCTTAGAACCCTGGTTTTAAATACTCTCATTTGAATTCCCTCTGTACTTTGTTATATTTCTTTGCTCAATTCAATCACTTTGCTTGCATTAGAGTTTATTAATATCTTTTCTTTTTCAACTGTTTCTCCTTTGAGATCAGCAACTGTGACATGTATCATACCTCGGAATACTTATGCCAAGCCAAAAAAAAAAAAAAAAAGTCACAGAAAGTTGCTAAAGAACGTTGTCCAAGCTAAAATAGTAAATAAGTGTACACCAAGCGCAATTGTAAAATAGAGTGGCTGTGACTAACCACAAATTCGTTCCCATTTACTTTAGATCAGATTATTATATTAATTACCAACAAAGCGAATGACAGTCGAAATAACGGCCACGAAGTGACTAGACAGGGCTAAGCAGCCTTGATAGGGTAAAACAGATTTATCTGCAAAGAGAAAAAATGTTCTTCATTTGCCATCAAAGATTAATTCTAGGTCTCGGGGTAATTAAATGAACACACTGTTTATGCTCCATCTCCATTCTGCCCTGAGTCTTGGAAAACTCATGAAACTTCCAAGAATTCAAGTTTCCATTAACCACAAGTGCCCATCAGGAGGCTTGACCTGTGGAAGAAAGTGCATTTGTCTCTGCTGGTTTTTTTTTTTTTTTTTCCCCAAAAGCTGCAGCAGGATATTTACTGTCTGTTGTTTCTTGTGCGCAATTACTCCGCTTTATCGGACAGACGATCTGGGTTTGGAGAAGCGGCAAACTTTCGGCAAGCAACCAGTGCCTAAAGACCCCGCGAGCATTTCAGTGGGGTCAGCTTTCGTCACTGTAAGAGACTGCTCTCTCTCTCTCTCTCTCTCTCTCTCTCTCTCTCT